ATCAATTCAATATGTTTGCCGCTATAAAGTTACAAAGAATGATTATTGTCTTACAAACTTGTAGAATGATTCTTTTGACGTAGGGACACTCATATTCTGGATTTCAGTTGCAAAAACCATACCAAGGTACGTTTGTTTACACAAAAAGTCAACACTCCTACGTGAGTACTGTGACGGAAACCGAGTTGGTGATGAATAAATCGATTTAATAAACTATATGAGGAGAAAAGCTAACTCAAGCTACTACTAACAGGTATTTATAGGAGTTAATCCTCCTCGTGAATCTACAGACTAGTGACTTGTCCTTAGGCACAATACTTCTTACCCGGCCACGTATTTCCAGGTATCACTAAGTTGTAATAACGCTTCGGCCTCCTGAATAGTAGTCCCGTTTCGTTCAGCTTCATCTCCCCCTCATACAGCCTCATAGTAAGAATTCTTAGTATCAGGCTTAGGTATCCACCTAAGCTCAAACAACGGTCAAACCGTAACAAGTACCCACCGAATGGAAGTTCAAAACATTTAGACTTTTGAACTCGCAATCATTGCGAGAAATGTCATTTAATTTTGCTAGATTTGACTCAGCGATCTCCTGTTTCGAGAAGGATGTACTATCAAACAATCCAGAATTCGCCTGGCACATCGTTCAACTATATCGGTGTTTTAATTCTTAATTTTTCGTTTCAACGAGTCTATAAAGTGCACATTGGTCAGTTTGTTAAACTCATTTCCAACATTGAAATTTAATGCCTACCAAGATTGCTTCCAGTTCTAGCGTTATCTTGTCTATTTGTCTTAATATCTCCACGCTCATCCCTAATGTTTGCCTCCCACATTTATGCACCATAATTTGTTTCTTCCGGCGGTTATAAATATCAGCATGGACGTTTATTTAGAGACGATCTGAGACCGAGACTAACTTGACGGGAGGTGTGGTCACAGAAAATAGGATGAACTAGATCACACGTGTAGATTAGATGATGCTTCGATCGGAAATAATATATCAGAGAATTGTAAGAATTCACAGCAAAATTATGCAAAAGTCACGAGATCGTATGTAACTGAGCCAGATCGAGAAGGCAATTAATCATCAAATGAACTCACTCCTTCATTCTTCTATACCACTACGAGAGTCTGATTTTAATACCCCTCTCTGTGATCCCTTGTCACTTCTAACAAGTGCATGAGGCTATCCTAGTTTCTTCTTCAATGCCCTCATGTGCGCAATTTGTAAGTTCCATATCCCTGTTGTTGATCTGCATCTTGCCTATGAACTGTACCCCAGCATAGTAAACTTTCGTCTGCTTACAGGAATGAAATATTTATTTGGTGGAGAATCGTGAACTATTGCCTCGTGGCCCAAATTTTATGGTTTGGCGGAATTTGACACAACTTAGCTCTGGGAGAGCATCTTACCCCAGGTTTGTGGAGGATACGACTGACATGTATTCAATCTCTGCTCTTCTCCTGTATCAACTATGTTGATGGCCAGGTGTGATAGTTATGGATTCGTCTATTTGCCCTCGGCGTCTCCACATAGCGATATAGCGATGTATAAGATTATAAAGCAGTCGAGCTTATCACGGAGCAGATACACACTATTTGGGGAAGAGACTAAAATCAGGTCGCTTCCCTTCTCAGCCTTGATATATCAGGAGCCTTTGACAATGTCTCCCACGAACCGCTAATCCACAATCTAAGAGTGAAAGGTATTCCAGGGTGGATCAGTAGATTTGTAAATCATTCCTAGAAGAGAGAACCACCCCGGTTGTCCTCGGTACATACAGAGGAGATCAGATCCCCATCAGCACAAGAATACCACTAGGCTCATCGCTCTCACCGATTTTTTTCCTCTTCTTCGTCAGCACGCTCTTGCCTATACTCCAAACCTCTTGTACCTCGGCAGTTAGATTTGTTGACGATAATAACCCGCTAACATGGTTAGGTACAACCGAAGAAAATTGCAAAAAATTAAAGCAACAGCACGTGATATACGAGGCATGGGCAGAAAAGAACGGCGTGAAGTTTGCGCCAGAAAAGTACCAGCTTTTGCACTTCACACGTGCAAGGAAGCGACACAACCTTTTTTTTTTTGCATCAGATTTTAATTGCGTATGCAGCTATCGAGCTATGACAATATGTCAAAGAAATGAACAAAACAAATGATTCGACGTAAAAGAAGAGCACTCATGCCTCGGATTTCATTTGCAAGTACCACTGCGAAGTTATGGCGGCTTTTTCTTCACCCCAAGTCAACCCTCATCCGTGAATACCCACCCAGGGGAACGTCTCAAAAACCCTGAGTTATCCAGACATACCTCCGTCATCCATCAACTTTTCTCCGCGCGAAATGTAATCTGAAATGTCTCCTTCCCAAGTGGAGTAGGTGCCCAGGCTACTCAAACTATTCCAGAGAACACCGCCAGGAGGCGGATCACAACACCTTCCATCGTTGGCTTGTTTTTATATTGTCAGCTGCACTCTCGCAAGCGAAGTCTTGGCGCGCACAAAGCTCAATTCGTAAAACTCTTGCAAAAATTCGAAATTTCACGCCCGTCGAGTTTGTATCCTTCCTTTGCATCATCTTGTAAACTTGTCCTGATCTCTCTCACGTCCATCCCAAAGAGCTACCTCTCAGATTTGTTCTCCACGCTTTGCTTCCTCCATCGGGTGTAAATATCGGCGTGGGCGTGTATCTGGTGGTCAACTGAGGCCAGAGAAAGTCGAAGAGAGGTGTGGTCATTGAAACGAGGATGTACTAGGTCGTACTTGTAGACTTGATGAAGTTTAGATGAGAATCGGACTCTTTGGGAGAGAAAGATTGACATGGTGGAGTAATTTGAATTTTTGCCTCGTGGGCCAACTTCTTTGATATTGCGAAATTTGACTGAACTTGGCTCTGGGAGAATATTTCACTCCCAGGTTCGTAGAGGACACTGCGTACAGGTGTTCAGTCTTGCCCTCCTGCGACACAACCTTGAAGCGACTGTCAGCATACGAGGACATCTGACGTCTCCTTAGTCTTCCCTTCGAGTCCTTGGTATATTCTTCGACCCTAAGCTCCAATGGGGCTCCCACATAAAGTATATTGTACAAAAGTCACATACCCAAGTACAGTCAATAAGTAGATTGACGCAATCAACTTGGGTTGCAACATTCAAGAAATCAAAGCTTTTGTACAGCGCGATTGTGAGACCAGCCCTGACTTACGGGTGTTCAATTTGGGCTGCAGCTGGGCCAACAGGTAGAATACCAAAAAGGATAGTTAAACCATTGCGAAGTATCCAAAAAAATGCTTGAAGCTAGTCACAGGGGCATATAATTCCACCAGCAGTAGAGCTTTAGACCACGAATGCTCAATCCTTCCACTTGACATCTACCTCAAACAAATGAGAGTTCGACATATCGGACTTTCGGAAAGACAACCTATCAAGCAGACGATTCTATCCGCATGTTGTAAAATATCGCAGACTTATAGCCTGAGCGAAAATAGCCACGCAAAAAATCGAAGCCGAGAAACTAGCGAGTGGATTAAAATCTGCAGGAACGAAAAGTGAGGCGTAGACATAAAGAAGCGGGTAAGATAGTAACATTCTAGGACTGGGAAACTGCATGGAATAATTTTGAGACAGAACGACTATCTTCTCATCAGTCGTCAGCAGACCCAGAACATTGGAAAGCAGCAAGAATAAGCACCGACAAGATAACAGTCAGAAAAAGAATCACCTACAGAAACACACCCTCTAACACCCACCGAAACCTGAGCAGGGCCTAAAGTAGTATTGCAATACAGATGAGAAGTGAGAATATCGGCCTCAACCCTTATCTTTATAGAAGAAAGGACCCTGGAGTGGCAAATCCAAAGTGCCAGTGTGGATATCCGTCACAAAACGTGAAAAATATGGTCATGGCTTGTCCTCAGTGGGCTAAGGGAAGAGGAGAGGTGCTGCAACGGGCAAAAGATAGGTCTTTCGAAGCTATGATGAACAGCCCGGAAGACATGAAGAGAATTACAGAGTGGATACTTACAAAAGGCTGGCTCGAACAGTTCCGGCTCGCAGAAGAAGTTGGTACAACAGTCAGCGAAAGGATTGAGCGATCGGAAAGAGGATAGGACGGTATTGACACTGGATGTACAGTGTAAACGCACTTCCTGTAGGAAACCTCTGGAAACACATAGACACGAGATAGACAGTTGTAGGGGGTTTTTACCGAATTTGATTTCCTCCTGTGTAAATATGATAGCTAGATATACCTGCATGGGCCCATGGAGTACATGAACGGGCTAAATGAAACAAATCAAGATCATAAATTATACTCTCCGATTATCAATTCTTGAGGTATAAGACGTCGGTGTTTTGGCCGGCCCTTTGAGCTAACAAGAAATCCGGCGGAGTCCTGGTAGCTTGAGGAATGAATGGCCAGGATACGTCGGATTTATCAAGTTAATTGGAAATAAACGTGTACTAGATGTTTCCGGAAAGATCGTACTTATCTCTCGAAGTTGCAGCGAGACTTTTAGAGAGGAAAATTGTTCCTGCCTTGGTGGCTAAAGTTAGATGGATGTGATAAAATACACGGTGATTGATACTCGAAAGGATTGACAAAAACCATGAAACTTGTCAATCTAGTTCATCGATTCTTGCAACCTAGTTTTAAAATTATTAATTGTTCAGGAAGTTCTCTTGCCCCTTATCCACCATCCTAATGAAAGGCTGCGGCTTAATGCCAGAATAAGGTGCCTTCTAATCCCGATGATTCCGAAGAACATAATTTAATCTACCAACGCTCCGTTCAGGGCATCTTTCATGATAAAAGAGCCCCGGAAGACTCTACAGTCCACATCGCTGGATTCATAGCGCAAATTAAAGCCTAGAAGCCTCTATTAAAGAGTAAAAGTAATCATAAGAGATAGTGAAGTTTGAAGATCTTCCACCATTCTTATAAGCTCATAGATTATAGACATCACGCTTTTCAGTATGAAAAGAGAGCTGAATCTCCTAATCAAATGAGTGAGTAAATAGTACTGAGATAGACTCCCCATGGTGGTTTCGTCTTATCGCCTCAGAAAGAAGACTTGATAGATCAAGAACAACAAGTTTGCTTGCCATGCGAATTTTCTCCGTAGGGATAGGGAAAGAATTTGTGACCACTATTGAGTCTATACAGTCACATTCTTGTAGTTCCTCCAAAGAGTCACCGCCAAAAAGACCGTGTGTAGCCATGCAGTATACTTTCTTAGCGCCTCCTCGTTTGACGACACATTCAGCAGCAGCAATCCAGCTTCCAGCTTTATCTATCATATCATCTATAATAAACACAGTGCGATTGCGAACGTCACCTACAAGTGTGATCATATGCTCGAATTGGGGGTTTCTCAAACCTGCCTCTTCTTCGTCAGAGGTCTCTCCACCGATGTCTGCATTGTGAACCTTTTGTTCATGCTGTGGGAAAATAGAGCTGTTATGAGGGAGCTCAATAGGCTCTTCATCACGCTGTTGGTAAACAGTCGAGCTGGACATTGATGATAAAATGGGCGATGGATAGTCGTCGGGGACTATATGGCCGTGTACAAGGCGTCCTTGAATTATGTCTCGGGCCCTTTCGTCAATAAATTCTCCATCTTCATCATTATTACTTGAATTATCAGGAGTACTAATTGTGCGGGCCATTGCACATCTGGATGTTTCATGAGGGTCTGTGACCCTTGGGAAGGGGCTAGTAGGAACTTGTGTGGACTGCGTAATGTCTACATGAATATTTTCTCCTTGACACGAAAGATTATTGTATGCAACCTGATCAAAACCGTTGTGGGTTCCCCGTGTTTGAGAAGATGGATCCGAAGGTGCTACAACATTCATATTTTGTGTGTTCTGGGGCACAGAGTGTACTTGTTCTGTAACCAATTTTAATGTCTTCATTCCGGCATTTGCGTCGTTAAAATTATTCTTGCTCATCGAGGACTCGGCACTGGGTTTAATAACGTGTAGACTTTTTAGTGCCCGCTCCGCATTTGATGTAGCGCTAGCCATGCCTCTTTTCTTGTCTGTGGTGACCATTCCAAAATTGAGCTTTAGAGCATCCGCCAGGGATGTGACTCTTTTCGTACCTCCAGCGTTCTTTGACACGCAAATGGCCTCGTTCCAGTTTTCGACGTTGTGTCTTATCCATCGGGATATGAGGGGCTCAGCGTGTAGATTATCGACCGGACACCTAAAGAAGCCTTGCATCTGCGATGCGTGTAGATCGATTGTGATTATATGCTTAACACCGGCGATATCAAGTAGATTTGCTAGCATTCTGGCAGTTATTGCTCCTCGACCAGATTTTTTTTTGGATTGCCTGCTGTATGGAAAGTAGGGAAGCACGGCTAGGCGTGTTAGCTTGAGATTCATTGAAGTATCGGTTTGACAAACCTGTGATTTTATTTGCAGAACCTCCTTTGCAGGCAGATATCATTATTAAAAGCTCCATGATGCTATCGTTTATTTTGCTGCTACCTGACTGAACAACGTAGACATCTTTGTCACGAATACTAGTCAAGATCTTTACGCTGGTCTCACCCTATATTAAAGATCAGTAACAGGCTTATCTATGCGGTAGAAAGCTTGTACATTTGCAAATTGTGAGAGCTCAACGCTCGCAGGACTCATGGCGAGCCTTGCACAGATATGATCTGCCAAAGCAGGACATGAGCTGCCAGCGAAGATCAAAACATTGCGCATTCTGGGATTATCACTCGTAGAAAAGGTCGGTAAACGTCAAATAAATAGGGGTTTTTTTGCGCATTTGTGGACTCAGGCACAAAGGCCCGATTTACGACCCATGTAACATTAAATTACTGGAATGGCTGCAATGAGGGATATCCAGCGGCCATTAGGCGGAAGTCCCGACTCTAGCTTAGTTATTTTGTTTTTTTATGCACCCTGTAAGTCTTGGTTAAAGCTTAATCCTCACTTACGTAGTACAGATGCTTGGCAATAAGTCAAATTCTACCCTTAACCTAACTATCAGTGGTGATTTTGTTAATAAACTGGTACAATCAACTTGTGGAGCTTCATTCATGAAGTCCAAGCTGTTATATAGCTAGATATGGGCCGAGGCAAGGCCAATAGAAAATAAATCTGAAAGGATAGTGAAACTCCTCAGAAGAATTCAAAGAAAATGCTTAAAGCTTGTTGCAGGTGCCTACAGTTCTACTACCAGCAGAGCGCTAGTGCACGAATCGGCCATCCTACCTTTAGAAATTCACCTGAAACAAAGGAGAGACCAGCATGCCGGAATATCAAATAAATTCCAAGTTCAACAGACAAAACGATCAACGTGTTAGAGGATAAAGCTGCCCGCAAACGGGAAAGAAACCCCGCATGCCTTCAATAGGAGTAAAGATATCGCCGAATGGATAAGAACTTGCGGAAGGGAAGTGGACAAGATAAAGCAGAAAGAAGCTGGCAAGATAGTGGCCTTTCAGGAGTGGAAGAATTCATGGACAAGTCAGAACAGGAAATAGCGCCCTGGCCGACCAGCATCAGCCGGGCCAGAACATCGGAAAGCAGCAAATATATTTACTGATGAACAAACAAGCCACACTAAAATGAATTTCAAAGGTGCACCCTTAAAAATTCACAATAACCTAACCGGGGTTCAAAGAAGTGTCGCCATTCAGCTAAGAAGCGAGCATATCGGACTCAATTCTTACCTGTACAGAAGGAAGGTATCCTGAGTAGAAAAGCCAAGCTGTCAATTTGGATATCCGTAATAAAACGTCAAACGCGTGGTATCGGCGTGTGCGCAGTGGGCAAATGTAAGAGGCGACTTTCTCCGACAAGCTAAAGACAGTTCATTTGAAGCAAAGATGAACAGCCCAGAAGATATGGCTAGAATTACACAGTGGATACTAAACAAAGGGTGGATTATACAGTTTCGACTTGCAGGGGAAGTCGATGTAGCAATGTCGGATAAAGTAAATAGATCTGGAAGGGGATAGGACGGACTCCACACGGGCTGAACAGCGTGCACTTCTTGATGGTAATGCAAACAGACAGGATCAGGGGGTTTTTACCAAATCGGTTTCCTCCTTAGTAAATAATGAAGATAGCCACCTGCATGGACCCATAGGGTGCCTGATCGGGTTAATTAAAATCAAATTCAAATAGCGATTTTGTGAAGGATGTAGACCGAAAACTTTCTAGGGGTGCCTGTTCAGGACCTGGGCGGCAGGGGGACTATTCTCAACACCTGCCATTAGTATCCCCTACGAACCTCCAGCTCTCATCGTAGAGTCTGCAGAGACTAGATTGAGTAACAAAGTCCTCACTTCGACGAGGATTTCCAGTCGCCCTAGCGGTCTGTATCGTCTTCATATCTCAACACATTCCCCTCTTACCATAATCATGAAGCGATTCACGATCAGGTTAGACGGTAGGGTCGGAGCACTACTCGTCACCAGTCATTGATCATGGAGGAGAAGCCATCCGATGAGTTTCAAGATTCTATCCAGCACCCGATGCGGAGATGGTGGATTGGATCAAGTCTGCCTCGACTGTCACAAGATTGAAGATATAGATGAAGATGCGCACTTCATGTGGTCCCGGTGTCGAGGCCTCTTTTTTTTTAATTCATATTGTATTCGGCCATTGAGCCATCACAATGTCGAGGCCTCGCCTGGCTGGGGCTGCAGGTTTTTTGAGACTATTGCCCGCACACGCAGTTTCCATTGCTACCATTTTTTTTTTTTTGGATAGAAGGTTCCGTGCAAAAGGTGGCCGAATTTCACAGGTAAACATTGAGCTGAATGATTATTCATGACGGGCAATGTATCAATGATCTCTCAAGGAGCATGAGAGACAAGAAGCACTGTACAAGGTGTGGCCTAGGTCAGAGAGGAGCCCAATGTGCTAGATAGTTTATGACTCAAGTAGTATAATAAACACACAAACACAAAACACGATAGCTGTTTGTGGTTGTATGACAGACGGGAAAAATCACATAACCACTGGGTGCGTGGCTCTTCTAATACCGACAATAGGGCTAAATCCGAAGACATACTGATCCTTCTGAAGCGTACAAAGAGGCCGACCAGCTGGGCGCTGCAGACTCGTGTGTACCTTGGAGAATTCACACTCTACCTTTTTAATCTCCTTCCAACTCCTTCCCGAAGGTCGTGTTAAAATATGGGAAATTCTTGACAGAGCGCGATTGCTGCACAGTAGCTTAGCCCAACTACTTTGATACCGTCTAGGGCGCTGGTGAGTGCTGTTGACTCATCGACAATAGAAGCCCTCCTGGCTAATTAGCCGAAATCTCGGTCTAGGTGGTAAAATAAATTTCACGGTCGGAACCCTCACGAATATGCGGTTTATATTGTTCACATGAGTATACTTCTCCCTGTAATTCTACGTCCCAGATGCCTGTACTCCCCCAAGTTTTCTAACCTTGTGAGGATAGCCGTCACTCATAAACTAAGACCCGAAAACTGTAGATTATGACTTAATTTCCTCTTTGCTAGCTAAGGTCTTGATTGATTGGACATACATCCCACTTCAGACGGGAATCGCTGGCTAGAATCTAGCAAAACACAAACACATTTCTCCCGTACCACGCCTCGTGGGTTTAGGGCACAAGCCTGATACACCTAGAATACATACATACAACCACATTTCTCGCGGAGCTAGTGTCCATAGATGACGAGGACATGATTGAAAAATTAAAAGGTTTGTAACTTTTCTTTGGGAATTCGTGAAGAATAAACTATTCTGCGAAGTAAATCAAGCCCCATAACAGTTTTTGCAATTGAAATCCAGAGGATGAATGTCTCTAAATTCAAAAGATTCATACAATATATTTGCAAGACACTGATCATAAATCATAACTCCGTAACTGATTACACAGTTATATTTTTTTTAAAAAGCAACTACATATATCATCTACTCTATGCGAAATTTTGGATAAAATTTGAAGTTAAGAATACTGTCTGACAGTACTATGGAAATGAATTAATTCAGAAATAGTTCAGCAATCACAAGAATAATGGTAAGTATTGCATAATGTGGCGATAACTAAAAATAGCTTTATAGTAGACGGTAATAAAATGGTCAGCATATATTGGCTTTTTGAACATTTTGATAGCTGAGTTAAGTAATTGAGAATTCGGGCATTTCAATTTTGTTATAGTTTTATCCCCCGATCAAATTCACCTTTTAATTTATGGTGCTTGTAATCCATAGATTATTAGTTTTATTATGATTACACACGTTATAGACGCCTTACAGCCTTTTAGGGCTTCATTAAAATAGATCCCCCGCTCCTAAAGCCCCAGGCTTAGAAGAACCACCCCAATTAGGTTTGTTTTTATTCGGACTCTTTGATTGAATGATACTGTATTTCATCCCAGCCTCTTTTACTCCCTTGATACTTTCGGTGATTGTGTTTAGAAGTGATACGAGGCTTACATCATTTTGCTCTGATATCATTTCCTGCTGAAAGCTTGTACCGTCTGCCGGAACTAACAATGCTAAGCGACTAAGAAGTGCCTGAATAGATCGAAGAACGATATGATTGACCACCGTGTTTTTATTTCCCATTGAATCAGAACTTTCAAGTGAAGTTTTGGAAGTGTTGTTGGTTGGTAATTTGGCCAAATAAATTGAAAGTAGATTGATTCGAGACAGTAGAATCTTAATGGCGTTTGCTTTTGCCGTTAGAGCAGAAATTAGTTCTTCGTCTTCCCGTGACAATATGTCTTCAGTTTTTTCGATTTGATCAAGGTCTTTTTCCTTTCCGCCAGAACTTTTTCTCTCGGTAGCTTCCCTATCTATAGAGCGAGATCTCGGTTTTCTCTGCGAATTACATACTGCGGTAGCTTTTCCTCCACCACGTGCCACGAAGTCAACACCAATCATCTCAACTTCATCAGTTTCCAGACTGAAGGGAAGCTCTCTATATTTTAATGAATGCTGCGGTTGCAGATCTCTCATCTCCATATCATCTCCAGATTCTTTTATTATCTCATCCACCTCTAGGTTGCACTCATAGATAGAGAGTGGTAACTTTCCTGATTTTTGCCCATCTGTCAAAGAATCAAGGTGAAAGCCTAGTAGAAGAGTAGAGTGATTATGTGAATGAAGTATTTGTCGTTGAATCGAAAGGTGCGCTGGTTGCGGTCCAAGGTTGGAAAGTACCGTATACCAGCCTACAAGGTCGAGTGGGGGGTTCTTGTGCACGTCTTTCACTGTGGACAATTCTCAGCGTTTGAGATGAGGTTAAGGTAATCAACCTACTTTGCTGTAGCCGCTCCTCGAACCAGGACTGATTTAAAAGGATTTCGCCGTCGGTTTCATCGAGCAAGCATTCAAATGCATTTTCAATTGATATTCCTCTACCATTCTGTTGTCCTAGCAAAGCTCCTACTATCGGGCCTTTCTGCTGTCGTAATTTGTGTCTTGTAATGTAATCTGAGATGGTGAGCAGGACCAGGGGATGTAGCGCAATTTCCAAGCTAGTTCCAGACAAGGACTGGGAGGAGATTAGGGGGTTTTCAGAAGTCATAATGGTTTTATCGATGTGTGCAGTTCAAATGTGACCGCTACACCTATGATGGTCTGCACTCTGGGAGCTGGTAATTAGTTAGTATCCACTAACCATGAATGGTACATGCATGACTAATATGTCAGTATTTATGCAAATATGTGCTCTAGTATCCAATCTAAATAGTCTATCACTATTTCGATGTTTATGCTCGTGTCCGACACGCAGGTAAAATCTGCCAACAGACCAAGGATTCTAATGCCTCCTTGAGAGCTCCATTTCCAGAGTATCAATCTTTACAGTTCTTCATTTGATGAATCAAATAAAAAGATTTTTTGACCTGAATTATGTTCGGCACCCAACAAATAAAATGACAGCTATCGTCATGTTTAGTTTGCAGAATAAGTCAAAGAAGTACTGGGCGCAGGGTTCACTTAACACCGACATCATGACTACGAGCAAGATGCAGCTACCATTCTCAGACGTCTAGGAGGCTAGCCAGCATTACAAATTAGACTAGTATTCACATCTGGGAGCGACTATCCCACATTCAAGTTTTCTCCGATGTTTTTTCCTGATTTGCGCCCCGGGAAAACCACAAACCATATTCAAGAATAGAAGCCGGCAAAGACAAATTCTTCACCTTCCAGTAGTGCCGGTGTCATCGCTCAGTATGCTTTGAATATCTGGGTTGCCCGGAAGAATCGCATCCGAATCGAAGTGTAAAACAACCTCAAACATATCTAAAGTCGACGACTCCTCGTCAGTGTCAGACCTATCATTCTCACGCGAGCTCTCTACCTCAATATTACTACATCACCTCGCCTCAAATACCGATAATGGCGTTACTCCAATTTACAATCGGGTAGTTGCCTCATCAAAAAATCGGCCATCTCCCACTACACATTTACGATGCTATGTATGCCCGCAAGGAGGAAATCAAGTCGTAATCTACAAAGCTCGGGTCTTGGTCTACGGGGGATCGTTACTCTAATAGGGCTTCACATCTTGAGGGAGAACAGGCAGCTGGGACATGGAACGAACGAGGGAGGAGGTCACAAATGGGTAAGCTGGGACGCACATTTTTCGATTGTCTTCGACTTGCGAGTGTCTGTGGGCGCAGAGGCAGCAATTTTGAATACTGCAACCGAAACTCTAAAAACTGGTGACGATGGAAGGTGTTTTGATCTGCCTTCTGGTCGTCGTCTACCCGAACTAAAGTCTGGGTAGCCTAGACACTCACCTCACTCGAGAAATAGAGGACTGTGAGTCCATATCTTACGCTGCATCTATGTACAAGACGATAAAAGCATGCTAGGGCAGCCAAAATTTTCCCATTTTCCCTTTTTGGTGGAGGTTAAAGGTTGAGGAAAGGATGAAAATCCCTAGCTCAAAGGTCTCGAGTGGTAACAGCGAATGCACCCAATACTTGAGTAATCCAGATGTCAAACTGAGTTATTGTCGTGTATAGTCATCGGAGAAGCTAGAGTTTTCCGTGTCAAGCTCTTTTTGTGCAGGGCTTGTGCCCGTCACGAATAAACTTCCATTTATTCATTCAGCATCTATGCAGGATCTCTGTCCGTGCACTACTACATGTAGCTCTCAATTCACTAGTAGCCACATTTCATGTTTAACGAAGTCACGTCTGTTTCTTATCTTTGTCATGGGGGCTTACCAAAACACTAGGTTGGAACGTCATTTGGATAACGTTATCAAGTTGAGGCATTGGCACGTACCTCATCAATCCCCAAGCTTTGGAGGGCAAGACTAAACACCTGTACGCTGTGTCCTCTACGAACCTGGGAGTGAAATATTCTCCCAGAGCCAAGTTCAGTCAAATTTCGCAATATCAAAGAAGGTGGCCCACGAGGCAATGATTCAAATCACTCCACAATATCAATCTTTCACTCCCAACGAAATCGATTCCTACCTAAGCCTCATCAAGTCTACAAGTACGACCTAGTACATCCTCATCCCAATGATCACACCTCTCTTCGACTTTCTCTGGCCTCAGTTGACCACCAGATACACGCCCACGCCGATATTTATACCCGATGGAGGAAGCAAAGCGGGGAGAACAAATCTGAGAGGTAGCTCTTTGGGATGGACGTGAGAGAGATCAGGACAAGTTTACAAGATGATGCAGAAGAGGGATACATTCTCGACGGGCGTGAAATTTCGAAGTTTGGCAAGAGTTTTACAAATTGAGCTTTGTGCGCGCCAAGACTTCGCTTGCGAGAGTGCAGGCGACACTACAAACATCGCTATAGTTGGATGGTGCGGTAGTTTCTCGTCTTTGCCCATCTGTCAAGTAGAGTCTGGATAGATTGGACACTTATCCCGCTTGAGAAAGTAGATCGCTGGTTCAAATCCGGCAAAACACAACCACATTTATCGCGACGCTGGTATATGAATGACCAGGAGGACGAAGGCTGAACACCTGTCAGTGGTGTCCTCTACGAACCTGGGGGCGAAATATTTTCCTAGAGACGAGATTTAGTGACGAAAAAGGGTGGGATGAACTTTATTTGATGGATCTTCGACTAGAGGGAGTTGCACTAGATATTTTGGTCGAAAAATCAGTCGGTGGAGATTTCACAGCCGGAACAAAGTTGAACAAAAACTAATCACCACTAACATACTATTCAGGAATGGATTTAGGTCTGTCTGGGGGTCGTATTCAAACAAATAGCATCTCTCAAACTTCTTAAATACTTGCGACGATCCATAACTCAGCCGATCTCACACCTGCGACCCATCTCTATACTCGTCACGTCACTTAACCACACACGCTCTAGTGAGGATAATCATATTACGGGATTAATCCCTTGTGTTTGTACTGTCTGCGCCAGTACGGTAGGGATGAAATATACGGCCTAGCTAGCTACGGGGGCTACCAATGTCGCGGTCTGGATATGGTTGCTTAGCAACATAGATTATTATGATCGGCGCTGACAAATACAATTCCCTATGTACACAGCGAGAAGTAGGAAATCTTCTTTCTCTAGATTTCTTTAATTAACTGATTTATTCCGGACTTGCTCTGCTATATACCAACACCAATTGATCCGGCGACAATTCATGACGGAAACGGGACGTGTACAAAGGAGGAAGAAGAGGGAAGATACACCGAGGGGATTACACAAATCCCCAATGACGAAAACAACTCAATGGTACGATATGATGGTGCAAGGCTAGAGCAACGATGAAATCTTGGACTGTATTTATATTTCGGAGTCAAAGAGGATGTTAAGGGCTCGGGCGCGTGGTGGCTAAGGCTAAGGAGGAAATTACGCTACGGCGTTTATACAGCGGGTTTCCGGACGGTTAGGCTTGGTATGATTCAACACATAAGTGGAGCCTAAAGTGCTCCGGTCATTTAGATAGGACGAGGTTTATCTGTACTTCACGGCATTTAACCAGATCCGTCCCGACCCCACTCGTGCTTAAGCTTCAATAGGAGTGCAACGGTAGTCATGTAACCTAGCACCTTTATGAAGAAAACGAAAAAAAACATAAATGACTAAGGCATTTTTGGATAACCAAAGGTTTCGAAATTCCCTTTGGTGGGTACCTACGGAGGAAGGTCAACTGTTTGTGTAAGCAAGCATACTTCGTAGTGGTATTTGCGAATGAAATCCAGAGTATGAGTGTCTATAATGTGGAAAGAGTTATCCAACATGTAGACATAGCACTGGTCATGTGTCACAGCTAGATAGCTGAGTACACATTAAATGATTTAAAAAAAAAGAAAAGTCAACGATGGAAGGTGTTGTAGTCCGCCTCCTGATGGTATTCTCCGGTATAGTTTGAGTAGCCTGGGCTCCTAATCCACTTGGAAGGAGACATCTCAGACCAAATTTTACGCAGAGAAAATTTAATGGATGGTGGAGGCATGTCTGGATAACTAAGGGTTTTTGAGACGTTCCCCTGGATGGATATTCACAGATAAGAGTTGACTTGGGGTGAAGAAAAAGCCACCATAACTTCGCAGTGGTAGATGCAAATAAAATCCGAGGCATGAGTGTTCTTCCTTTAGATTGAGTCATCTATCATATATTTTTCTTCGACATCGTCATAGCTAGATAGCTGCATTCGTAATCAAAATCTGATGCAAAAAAAAGGACACTGACAGGGATCCGACTTAGCTCATTAGCGAGGCGCTTGGAGTAGAGGAAGAAAGGAAGAGACAACCCTAGACGTATTTCGAGATACCAGCTAATTTTATCTTGCTCACCGGCTTCATGACGGCATCCAATTTACACAACTCGGTGTTCTACCAATACACTTGATTTTTGGGAAGTAGTACCGATCAAAAAAGCATATAACAACGTATTATAGCAGGTGGGAGGAAGAAGTATCGAGTCGGCCACACCCCCCCCCCCCCAAAAAAAGTCATAAACTAGCGAGTATCTATTACAGGACAGGTCGTAGGAAAGCCGTAATTCGGAGAGCGTAGTCAAAGTGGATAATATTGTGGCGTGTCAGAAATTGTCAATGATTTCTAGGAGGAGATTTCTCGAACGACAAGAATCAAACTGGGGATAGTTTGGAAGCGATGAATAGAGAGTTTTAGGTGTCAGGTTTACAAAGATTGGAGTTACTTGTTTCGGACAAAGGTGTTTCGCTTGGTTTGTAGCGATGGGAACTCTATATCTTCACACTAGACATGTCTCGCTCTAAACCATGAGAAACTCGGTTCATGGGGACAAGTTGGGAGCACATGGAGCATTTGCCATTTTCTGGACGTACATGATCTAAATGGCAACAGAAAGAGGAATGGCCGCTAGGAATTAATTGTCACTTTTTACTTCATGCATTATTCAATTGACTCGTTGAGTCTAACAACACGTCTGCAATTTCGGACAGGGCTTCTGTTGATAGTTGTGTGAGCTGTCGAACTCTCATCTCAATGTGAATTGATAATGTATAATATTCTTTTATCTTAGTTTAGCATACACAAAGAAGTCTATCCTCAAAGACAGCTTTCCCCACGCTTTAGTGATCCCGAACTCCCATTGCTCTGGTAAGAACCAGCTACTCAATTATCGCACAGTGGCATTTCCCAGCCAGTGCATTTCAGGTATCACTAAATATCATGTTGCCTAGCTAAGCTTGACCATACGTAATGGAATCAGTCTAACTGATCTTGATGATCATACCTAGAAGTCTAAAGCTTCATACACACTGAGTTTAGATTTCCAACAGTACTGACTATTTGTACATCCTTCGAGCTCATCCAGTCCGTACTCCGTTGGCGACTATGATATATTGCTCCGCCACTGCCCGTCGTTATCTTACTTTGCCATCTAGCTTGGCTCTCTCACTTGGCAATTGCACTTCGCCGTCTCACATTCCTTCCCAGTTCCAATGTAATGTGGCGAAGTGAAACTTAGTCGCTCGATACAACATAACATGGATCACTCTCCCTAATCCGCCCCCAAACTCCGCTCAGGTCTCCACCTAAGCCAAATACGGTCAAATTGTAGTATGGATGATCATACCTAGAAATCTAAACCTTACTACGTACCGAATCTAGATTTCCAACAGTATGGAGGTCGAGTTATCGAAGGTTTTCGTTGAAAATTCCCGAAGAACTATCATGGTTTGATAAACTGTCAACGCGAAGTAATTTTTCGGAATACGATTGAAAAGCCAAGAAACTTGAAAGCAAATCGTCTGATAGTAAACCATTAATTTCCAGTAAGTCAAGTAGCAATGAAAGAGTCATGTCACATGCTATCATCTATCATTAGACCGTAAAACTCTAATATTTGCAAGTATTTTTTATCATCTCCGGTTCCCGGTACAAAAAATTCGAGACAAGAGATCTTAGAATTATTTCACCAGTATAATTGGGACATGCGACAGGAAGCTCTTCAGTAGCAATAGTTCGAAGCTGGCATCGGTATACCAATGGCATTACCTAATACTGAAATTCATTTGAATTTATGTCATAAACCTAGAAACAGTATCTTTATTATAAAATTTCACGCCCTAAGACAAAACTGTCAAGCCGCCTATGACTTCATTTTGACCTGTTAATTTACCCAGTAATTCTTCAATTATTCGCCATTGAAGAGATATTAGAGAGGTTATCATGGAAAAATGAAATTATTGAATCACGATCGGGAAATTCGCAGATTTTTGGCAAGCTTTCTAATAATTTCGAAAGATGAAATAAAGCGGCCGGCAGATTATCCTGTTGACCTTGAGCAATAACAGTACGACTAACTTGCTGAAGTATACGGTATGAGTAAAAAGAGGCATCTATTTGTGCCAAGTAATGTATAAGATCCCAGTGGTAAGCTCGCTCTCTCATTGAGGTACTAAAAAACTTTGCAACATGTTTTACTGCAAGGAGAGTCATGGGTAATTTATTGTTAAATTGCGACCATTCGATCTCTTGTAGTATAGCCATAACAATCCAAATTTGACGGTTGCAAAGGTGCTTGAATTTTTCTCTAAATTTCGAAAAGTTTGAGCAAATCTCTGAACATGCTGTAGATATTTCAAGCGTGGTAGGCAGCCCAAGCTCTCGTCCACCGAATTTGGCGTGTTGCCTCTTATGCTCCACAACGCTTGCTATTCGCTCTTCTGCTGGTAGGGCTAGATTAATCAAGCCGTAGGCTAGCTGTCGTGTAGCAGATGCTATTTCCCATCCGCTAGTGCGAGCTGGGGAATCGAGAAGAAACGGTAGAAATATGCGATACACATGCTTCTCTGTAGAGTTATTAATTAGTGGCTGTTTGGCTACCTTTGCAAAAGTAGGAAACTGCAGAACATATTCAGAAACTCTTGGGTCAAGGGCTTGAAGATAAGTTAGGCTCCTCGAATTTGATGATTTTGATTTAGAATCGTATTCTGGAAACGAAATATTGTATTCATCGAAAGTCTCTTTATATTTAATTGGATGTATTTCTAGAGCTCGGAGAGAAATTGCTCGCTTTCTGATATCAGAGAATTTGGGAGTAGAAGCCATGAGTAATTCAAAAGCAAAAGGCTTCAGGCCATGTGACTTATCTAGACCGAGTCGCTTGACGATTTCCGTTGGCTTGTATACTGCTGCGGAGAGTTCTCGGTTTGGGATCGACTGCTTAATATCTTTGAAGAAAGCAACTGCTCCCTGCGGTCCAAGATCGTATATTAGAAGGTCAGAATCGCCTGATAAAACTAGTACCCCATGCTCCTTTGCATACTGTGCGCAGTAAAAGTCTGCCTCCCAGGGAACGACTTCAATCAAGTTGCTATAATTTTTTGAATAATAAAGTGTCTCTAAGATTACAGGGACTAGATATGGAGGTGGTGGGCATAAGCAAGGCTTTGTAGCTCCTATGCTGACCCCAAACAAAGTCATTTCACCCAGTTCTTTCAGTTGCGTATGGCGAAAAGCATTGTGTGTTTTGTAGTAATTTGAGTATTGACTGGTTAGTCGGCCAAGACGTAGTGAGCGTGTCCTCATTTTTGATGGAGGAAGAAATCCATCAAAGTATATCTTTCCACTATTCCAGTGTAAGCTTACTTCAAACACTGGCCCTTTAAAGGTACTTGCACAACAATGCTGCTCAGGACAAGACATTCTAGCCATTCTATCACCGTCGCTGCAATCTCCAAATTCTGTGGCAGGCCCTCGAGTGTATTCCGAGCGTCATACCTTCGAGCGACACAAAGATAGTAAATGTGATAAGCTAGAGCATTACCGTCGATGACTACAGTCCAACCATTCAGATTCTCGTGCGTCGTGTATGGTTGCAAGAAACTATTCAAATGAGGAATACCCATTAGTAAGTTTTACCGGTCTATTCTTGTGAAACTGTTAACATTTATCAATTCTTTAGATTTGATTTGATTTTGGTTGAATTTGATGTTTTGCAAATCTACAACTCGTGACTAATGTCACGTGCGGGAAGGCCCAGACGCTCTAGCGCGCCCTACAGCATCAAGAAATCACAAGAGTCCTACCATCTGTGTGAGGTTCCTAGTGGATTAGAATTTGTGAAACTTGAGATGAGCTTAGCTTTGTGATGGTGTGGGTTACGGGTGTCTCGTGGCTCCAAACTACCAAAATGTATGGTTGAGCTTAAGACTTGATATAACTTGATTTTCTACTAGTACAGGTTGTCACCTATTTAAGTACAGATTTCTTTACCTTGGGCTGGATGGTGCAGTGGTACACCATTTGGGCCGTTCTCCCAAGTAGATACTGTGCAGCTTGAACCCCTACCTCATTTGAGACAGAGAAAGCTGATTCGAATCCTGTAAAACCCACACACCACTCTCCCTCGCGGAGATATTGTACTTGTGGGATGAGAAAAGCACACTCGGATTGCCACAGGTTTGCACGCTTTTCCCTGTGGTGGGTATGCACGGAAGAGGTTATGGAGATGTAGCGGGTAACGTGATGTAATTATGTAATTAGAACTAGTAGCGCGGTGGTCGTGTATTTACGCGTCGTAGATGGTAAACAGTAGAGCACTTGCGACCTCCCACAGCTCCGAACCCTAACGTGTTTCTGTCATACGCCGTAAGGGTTTACCTCGAGTGGTATCTACAAATGGAATCTGAGTGTGAGTGTTCTGAACGTCAAATTGAGTCGTCCAACTTAAAGCACATATCTTCCGATAAACACCTGCATGGGCCTCAAGGCGCCAAATTGTCAAGGGAAGAAGCTTAGATAATATCACGTGAGATAGTCTATTTGGACAAGTGTACTGCTTTATATATGTTTTAGTTTTGTATCTATAAGGATTCTTTCTCTATTCGTAGACAATCTAATCCACCAGATCTGACATCGTCGATCAACCTCCCATTCCCGTAACATATTGTCTACCCTACACATCTATCCCATCAGCTAGATCTGACATCGTCGATCTATAAATATCCCTCCTCGTGGTACATTGTACAGTGACTCTAACCCCTCACATCGACACACAAAAAAAAAAGATTTAAAAAATTAAAAAATTTCTTTATACACTCCCAGTTGCCAAGATGGAAAATAATCCTTGGGATCTTGAAAGCACTGGTATTCCAAGATACCAACAAAAAGCATCTGTGGTAGAAAGGTTTAAAGATCGTGACGCAGAATTTGTAAAAAGATATCCTCTCCTTTGCTCCGTTCCCAGCCAGGAATTGTTGATTCAAGCTATGCAAAGCGGCATCCCGGGTAACAACGCAGCTCAGCTCAGTGAAGAGATCATGACTCTGGCAACCTCATACGTGCAGCTGGACACAGAGCTTTTTCAGAGTAAGAACGAATACGATGCGCTGATCGAGAAATTCCAAGAGCTAAAGGACGCCAACTCAAAGCTTGATAGACAAAAGAGAGCTGCGGGTTCAAGCAGCTCGCAGCTGCAGCAACAAAATGCCAACCTGCAGCAGCAGGCTAGCACCTTACAGCAGCAGGTCAGCTCCTTGCAGCAAAACGTTACAAACCTCCAACAGCAGAACCAAGCTCTAAACCAGCCCCCATCTAATCCTCCTCAGAATGCGCTCTCTATTCATCGATCAGCCGAGCATCCGGATCCTGAACTCTTCTCCGCCGATGATCCTAAGCAACGAAAAGACCTCCCACTATTTATCCGGAAAGTAAATATGAAGCTCAATACCAACGCTGACTGGTACCCATCGGAGCAGAGTAAGATGGTCTATGTTATCTCCCGGCTAAGAGGAAAAGCATACTCGACAATTACATATGGAATTAAAAGGGATGGCACTGTTCAGTTCTCATCCACCGATGCCATTTTAACTTTGTTGGAACAATCTTTCTCGGATGTAGACGAGATAAATACTGCCAGACGAGAAATCTTATTAATCAAACAGGGTCACAAAGACACGGCGACACACATCATCGACTGGTTTGAAATCGCACAAAAAATAGGCCTCTCTGACAACGCTCTAATAAATCACCTTTATGATTCATTGCACCTAGAGATAACAACTCAAATCAGAAATCGAGTCATGCTTCGTCAGGTCATGCCAACAGACCTCACCTCATACCTTGTCGAGGTCCGACACATCGACGCGGTTCTGCGATCCTTAGGCCCGAATTACACTAAGTCTAAGCCAGTCTCCGGAACCTATTTTCCATCCACTCTTCCATCCTCAGCAATAACATCCACTCCAATTGGGGAGCCTATGAATCTCAGCTCAGCTACAACCATCCCAAAAACCACTTGGACCGCTGTCGACGCCGCCACCCACCGCATCCCTCGGACTGAAGCAGAAAAATGTGGTAAAAGAGCATACTGTTTCGAAAACAAGCTGTGTAGCTGGTGCTACGACCCTGGCCACAGAGCTAGAGTATGCGCCGAAGCACGCTGGAATAAAGATAAGCCAAGGAACGCGGATAAAAAAACTGTGATAGAAGATGGAAAAGCCTAGTCCCTGATAACAGTCGCTATCAGGGACCCGAAGAAAGTAAGTCACAGAAGAATCCAAACGTACCCAATATAGAAGTCAAGTGTATCAACGAGGAGAAAACATCACAATTATTGTCACTTTCAACTCCACACAACGATCACCTGCTACTATCCTGTACTATAGCATCAAATAAAATAAGCTTCCAGACCCTAGCGTTTTTAGACTGCGGTACTACTGACGAATTCTATGACTTAAACTCTGCGCAAAAAAAATGCCTCCCCATAAATCCCCTATCACAGCCCCGTCAACTCTATCTAGCGGATGGAAAACTAGCTACCCAAATTACTCATTCAACAACTATTCATCTTGACATCTTTGGCCACAAAGAAACCATCACATTATTCCTCACAAATATTGGCAAATATGACCTTATTCTTGGACGTAAATGGCTCAGAAAGCACAACCCTGCTATTGACTGGTCAAAGGACGTCGTAAATCTTAATTCGTACTATTGTAAAGAAAATTGCCTCCCTGCCCAACTCGACCAGATAACTATAACCAGTAAAGAGCAAGGCAACGGACGACCAAGGAAGATTGGAGCTGCAGCTTTCCAGACACTGTCAAAACAAAAAGGTGTTGAGATATTTTCATTATCCCTGTACGAGGTTGATACAAGACTCAAAGAAGTGGGAGTCATCTCAGCCCCCTCGCCATCAATTCAATTGCGATATCAAATACCAACAAATCTCACCCTTATCCAAAAAATGCAACAAGAGCTGTGCTGCCAAATGGAAGACTTCCCTAACAATTCGCAAAGGCAAAAAACAGCCACCGACATGCACTTATCTGGCTTCTCCCTAGAAGACATTCAAATCGCTCTCCAAACTAAAGATCATCCCGACCCATCCAAAAAACTCCCTCTTCATTATCATCAACACCTAGCAGTTTTCGATCACAAGGGCGCAGACACACTCCCACCACACCGGTCCTGTGACCACAAAATCGAACTCAAACCTGGCACAACACCACCTCATGGCCCCTTATACAACATGTCCGTTGAAGAACTCAAAGTACTGCGGAAATACCTTAATGAACAACTGGATAAAGGCTTCATACGCACCAGCAGATCCCCAGCAGCAGCGCCAGTACTTTTTACCAAAAAACCAGTAGGTGGTCTCCGTTTCTGTGTTGACTACCGCGGCTTGAACGCCATTACAATCAAAAACCGGTATTCCCTCCCCCTGCTACAAGAAACACTAGCTAGACTCAGCAATGCAAAATTCTACTCCAAACTAGACATTATCGCGGCTTTTAACTATATTCGAATCGCAGAAGGTCAAGAATAGATGACAGCGTTCAACACAAGATATGGTCTTTTCGAGACTCTTGTCATGCCATTTGGACTGTCAAATGCACCGGCCACTTTCCAAGCCCGCATCAACGAGATCCTACGACCTTATCTAGACATTTTCTGTACCGCTTATATCGACGATATTTTGATCTACTCCGATGACCTTCTTACACATCGCACCCACGTCAATACAGTATTACAAGCGCTACAAGATGCAGGGTTACACTGTGATATAAAAAAATGCGAATTCGAAGTCCAGGAGGTCACATACCTCGGCATGATTATCTCCACCACTGGCGTTAAGATGGACCCAAAAAAGATTCAATGCATAGTAGACTGGGAGTCCCCCTCTTGCCTAAAAGACGTTCAAGGCTTTCTAGGATTCTCAAATTTTTACCGAAGGTTCATCAAAGACTTTTCAAAAATTGTAAGGCCTCTTGTCGCCCTTACTTGCAAAGACGTCAAGTTCGTCTAGTCGGAAGCATGCCAAAACGCTTTTCAGCTCCTCAGAAATTCATTTATATCAGCCCCAGCTCAACGCCACTTCGACGCCTCAAAAGAAATCTTTGTTGAAACGGACTCATCCGATTTTGTTTCAGCAGGCATCTTATCCCAAAAGGACGACAACGGCGAGCTCTACCCAGTTGCGTTTATGTCCAAAAAATTTGAGAACTCGGAGTGCAACTACGAAATCTACGACAAAGAACTGTTGGCTATCGTCCAATGCTTTGAGGGATGGAGAGCCGAGCTCCAAGGCTCATACTATCCGATCACTGTCACCACCGACCACCGTAATCTCGAATACTTCATGACCACAAAAGAACTCTCACGCCGGCAGGTCCGCTGGAGTGAGTTTTTGTCTCAATTCGATTTCGTCATAAAGTCTCGACCAGGAAAGGACAACGCCAAAGCCGACTCTCTTACTCGACGGTCACAGGACCTTCCAAAAAATAACTCTGACCCACGATTACTTCATCAAAAACAAGTTCTCCTTCCATCTCATAAGCTTCATCAATCTGTTATCCAAGATCTTCAGGAAAAAACTGATAATCCGCCAAACCCCATCTGCAAC